CTGAGAGTGAGTGCAAAACTGTAACATTTGCCTTAACTTACATTTTTTTCTCCAGGTTTTTTTATTGTTGTTGGATTGACCTCAAATCGTTATGAGAGCGGGAGTAGGGGTGTACCAATAAGAATATACAACAAAACTATGAAAGTCCTTAGAACTATGAAAGATAGCGGTGGCTGAAATAAAAAGTGTTACATCATGTTACAGTTTTGCTCGTCACTGTACATAATTTGTAAAAAAGCAGATTTTTTTATTATTATTATTAGGGTAAATGAAAAACGCGAAACATTGCATTCAAAATTGGTGTTGGAAAAGCCGTTTTTTAGCCAACGAAGGTTTGGAGACATTAAGGGCGGTTGATTAAATAGTTAAGGCATTGGAATCGATAAAAATCATTGAGTTGAGCATAACGGTATACTAGGGGAGTTCACGATTTGTAGCAATTCTTGCGAGAAACAAAAACTGCAACAAAAGTCAAACTGGGCATTTTTTTAAATGTATTTAAAACAAGTAAGAGCAGCGCTGTCTTCAGCTATGCCCAAGGCTTCATACCTTTCATAAACATCTGTAAATTTTTCTTTAACAGATTTCTGCATTTTAAAAAATGTATATATTCATATATTAAAAAATGTATATATTTCGATCGCTGTGGTGTAGTGGTAAGCAGTGCGCGCTTCCACTCCGAGTGTATTTCTGCCATGAAAATCAGCTTCTCATAAAAATACAATCGCCGTTCGGAGTCGGCGTAAAAGTGTAGGTCCCTCCGCTTTGTGTGACAACATCAAGGCGCACGCCACAAATCAGACGAGAAGCTCGGCCAAAGCTTATACAGCATAGATTTTCACAAGTTTCTCATGTGTGTTAGCTATAGGTTATAGTGACCCGATCTTTGTAATTTTCACTGTAAGTATTCTGTTGATAATGGGTGGGAGTATTGAAAAATTGCATGTTCCTAGCTGCATAAATGGAGGAGTTATAACGAAAAATCTTATATCTGAACAATCAGTTGTATGGGAGCTATATGTTATAGTTAGACTGCGAATTTTTATGCAAAACACGGAGCCTGGAAATATGTACCACATAACTATAAGCAAAGTGTATAAATTTGTATACATTTTGTTTATACACTTTGCTTATAGTTATGTGGTACATATTTCTAGGCTCCGTACTTTGCATAAAAATCCGCAGTCCAGTTATAGTGGTCCGATTCTTCCGGTTCCGACAAATGATTAATACATTATAAAAATACATCCACCTGCTAAATTTTATCCGGATATCTCGAAAACTGAGAGACTAGATTGCATACAAAAAGACGGACAGGCGGGCATGTCTAAATCGACTCAGCTCGACGTTCTGATCATTTAAGTATACATTTTAATGGGTCTATCTCTTCTTATTCTGGTACTTACAAACATCGGACCAAAGTTATAATACCATTGCATGGTCATGAAAGGTATAAAAATATCCCTGGTCAATCCAAAAACTTCCTTCTGCGTATGCAGACTTCGGCCGCTCTTCAAAAATAAATTCCTGCTCGGTCCCACATCCGTTACGCTGCCCACAATATTTTGGGCGTAGAAATCCATAAAATGTTGATGTTGTTACATAAGGAGTAGGGACCTACAGTCTTACGCCGTCTCCGAACGGCCATAGTATATTTTTTATGGGAAGCTGTTTTTCTTGGCAGAATACTCTCGGAGATTTGTCATTGAGTGCTGAGGCGCGACCGCTATTAGAAAAAACTTGCCTTTCTTTTGTTTTTGTTGATACATAGTTGAAAATTGGGCTCGATCCCAGACCCTGCACAATGGTAGTGCACACTTCTAACCACTACATCAAAACGGCCGCAGATAGACAATTATCACCCCTATTGCGAGTGTCGATTAGTAGTAGATAAACGCCTCGTAGTCGATTATCGACTATCTATGGTTACTACCAATGTCGTTTTCTCGTTCAATAAATGAGTGTGAATAGTTTTTAATCGCTCATCCTTCTAAAAACAATTAGTTGTATTATTGAACGAGAAATCGACATCCACAATACCATGGGCAAGCGATAATAGAATAATAGTCGTTCATCTACTACTAGTCGACACTCGCAACATATATTAACATATATTATCGAACGCTGTCAGGAAATTCCTGGTTTTTGCAACGGTTTTGCGAATGAGGCCCCATAGGGCGACGTGTGCTATGAAATCGCAATGATTGCGATAGCGGTACGATACGGGTATTTATCGCTTACTCGTTTGAAGAATAGCCCTACTGATCGGTATAGAATCGTGTGAACGAAGAATACCGATTTAACTATAACTAACAAAATTTCTAGCAAGGCAGCTTTGATGGGAATATCAAGGGATGAACAATTTTGCGCCACCTTTGAAAAACAAGTGGATTTTAAGAGGAAAAATGCACTCGGAGTGTCCCCATTGTATGCTGAAGGACGGCAGCTATTAGAAATAAACTTTTTTTTTTTGGCTACGGCGAGTGTTATCCCAGAACTATAATTTAAAAATCCTTCCTCATACACAACATAACCTGCACCTACTAATAGACCAGTATTAACCACCAAAATTTTGATTGCTTAATTAAATATACGATTTTTCTCAATGTTTGTTACTTTCATCAATATCTTACGCTGTTATTTAATAACAATTCTTATTTTTGAAAATATGTACGTGCAATTTTTATATATAATATTTTGCATGTAGATATTTGGCTTCTAAACATTTTGAATCCGTCCGTTAATATTTCCAGGAAAGCGGCGTCACTGTTACAACAACTACTATAACAAGCAGTACAACCTCAATTACTAGCGGCACGGATTCATCATCATCTGACAGCGACTCAGATTCCGATGGCTCTTCGAATGACTCGAAAAAACTCAATACACCCTATCCGACATACAAAGTTGAGAATATCTATAAGATTGTTGTGCAAAATTTAGAAGAGTGTGTCACACGATTTCCGGAACACTATAAATCAATTTATCGTCTAGCATATCATTACAAAAACACGTCCTTACCAAATCTTAAAAATCTACAGCGTTGCGAGGAGCTAATGATGGGCCAATATAAAACTAGTTTGGAAAATCAAATAAATGGTGTATTTTACGACAGAAAATGGAATAATATATTCAATGGCATTTGGCGTATACCATCATCAGAAATTGATCGTCCTGGAAATTTCGCATCACATTTAATCAAATGTACGACTATTGTCATCGATTTGTTATATGAAAATAAAAACCACAAATTGCTAGTCGACATCGGTTTACAACTTTACAAAACGCCAGAACAAGATAAGTAAGTAAATATTTAGATGAATAAGTATACTGTATCTTAAGTCCTAGCTACTTCAAATTTTCACCTTCTAAAAATGCTGAAATTAGAAATTTTTGTGAAATTTTGCATAATTTTCATAATTTTTTCACAAAGTCTAAAATTTGGATTCATATGGTTTTCGTTAATCAATCAGCTATACTTTCATAAAAAATAGTAAACTTTAAATAAACTAAACAAAAGTAGCCATAAGTTACTAAAATGTCGCGTCTCAGTTTTTATTTGGTTCACTGTATGTGTATTTCGGTAACCGATTTACCAATTTGTACTAAACTCAGTCCAATTATTGACCTTGGCATAAAAAATCTACATGTTGAAAATTTTCGAAATCGGACTAAAGTTACGTCAACTTTCCATTTTCAAAAAAAAACAAAAACTCGTAAAAACGTTTAAAACGTAAGGAGTTTTGTTTTGAAACTTTTCACCACGTTGGATTTTGTATTCTAGCAGCTGAAGGAACAATTTAAGAAATAAAAAAAATCATCAAAATATTCAAAATTTGTGAGAATTGCCCATATGGAAAAAAATGTGCCGCACCCTCAACAAAAAAAAAAAAAATCAAAAATATCAACGGTAATTTTTAGCGATTTGAAACTTGCACTTAAATATACTTAAGCTGAACGAGCTATAAAACTACTTGAACCTTTCTAAGAAATCTAATTAAAAAATCGGAATTTTGGTGAACATTTTTTTAAGTTTAATTAGTTTTTGTGGAACTTTGTTCAAGCTTTAAAACTTTTATTTATGTGGTATCTGATATACTACATATGTAAATCGACCCATATTTTAAATGAAAATTATTAACAATAAACAAATAAAGATAAGTTGCCAATAGCATCATTTTGAATTTTGCTGCTATTATTTTGACCGCTTCTGTATGCTTATCTTAAAAATTATGCGTAAAAAAATATTATTAATTTTCTACTGAAACTTTTAACGCATCGATTACCTCGAGACTTGCATTTTTTTTTTTAGTATAGATCGTTAGAACGACAAATACAAAATAACTAATTTCTAATGCCATATTTCCACTGCACATCAAGTGATAAAGTTGTGCATTAAATAATTCCCGTATAAGTACATTTTTTTTTTTTCAAATATCAAACAAAGACTCGTTCTCAAACGTAATTTTTGATGACGAATTTTTTTATAATTTCAATACCTAGTGAAAATGTGACAAACCTAAGTTTATTAGATTATAAAATTATTTAATCCTCTACAAAAGCCTTATAAAAATATATTTTATTTGCTTCTAGACGCTATATTAAAGATTGTGAAAGAGTTAAACTCTCCCAGCAAACCTTAAATTACTGCGCTCAGATAATGCGAGATATTTTGAAACAAAATATGGAAAATCGGAATGATGTTGAAACGTTAAATCTTTTAATCGATATTTATAAAGTCCACAAAAAATGCTTAAAATATATGAATCAAAAGGAATCGCTCTTCACAGATCTCATGGTGGATGTATATAAATTTTACATACAAAATAAAGTTGACAATGTGCCTGAAAATTTGAATTTCCTGGATTTAGCTATAAAACTTTGTCTACATGAAATCGCATTTCGCCGCAATCAAGAGAAAGTTAATTCCAGTGAAGGTGATACAACACAAGGCGTGTGTCAAACACAGTCACAGCCGTTAAGCACAAAGGTAAATCGTACAAATTTATGTGTTTTTCAGTTTTTAAACGCCTATGTTTTCATTTCATTGTGGTTTGATTAGCCAAATAGACAAATTCATATACCAGGCTTGACAATGCGTCAACGTGGACGATCAAGTCTGAACAAAAGTGTAGATAGTGGATTTGGCACCGAAGGTATGCCTAGCATGAGCGGCATGCCGGTTCCGACGTCGACCAGTGACACCATATGGCACCACTTACTCAGGGGACAATTTGTGAGTAAAGTTTTCTAAAATTTTGTATTCACTATTCAGAGTTATGTAGATATAAGATTTTGTTCTCAGTGTAAAAACATTGAGCTCGGGTATATAAAGCCCGACGCGGACTTGGACTACCTTCCAACATAACTCTTTTTCTGAATAATCAAATGTCTTTTTATTAGCCCTCATTGGACATGCAGCAAATTTTGGATTCAACTAAACCTTTCGTTGAAAGTAAGCAACATGATGTAAGTAAAGAGTTTTCGAAAACAAATTGCCCTTATATATATATTCGCGCTAATTCTCTTTTGTCTTTACCCAATTCCGCAGCCATTCTTCATGAAAGAGATGTTAGATCAATATAAAGCCATATTTCAATCTATGCAAAATGATCAAATTGCGGCCAGTACATCGCTTGCATCTGCTTTTCAGCCAATACCCACATCTACCATTCCGTTGCTCTCAACAATGAGCAATTTAACCACCATTGCACCGAACCCAGTCTTCCTTTCAGCCTCATTACCGATAGAAACTACGATAACGCCCGCAATATCGAAACATACTCAGGAAACTACAAGCGGCACTTTTACGCCGATGAGCGCTGCGCAGGCAATAGCTAGTTACGACATAACAATTACACCTTTTTGCAACATCAACACATCGATGCCGCGAAATTTACCCATCGTTTCCACCGTCGCCACGAATAGCAAACCAATCGCCAGCGTTAATCCAACAGATTCAAGTGTTTCACAATTTATTTATAATGCAAGTTCAGCAACATCGATGTCACATATGCAACAAACAAATTTTGCCATGGCCATGAGTGGTCAACCGCAAGCACAAAATAAACCGAAAGGATCAGCAGGCGTCAAAGTGGGTAAACAACTAAGTGTCGCGAATGCTCCAATTGTAAATCCGTTAGCTACATTTGGTTGCAGCGACTTGTATAATCATCAAATGCAAATATTAATGAATCTAATGCAAGATGCTAATAATACCTTCCAGCAACAACAGCTACCGCAGCAGCAACAGCCACCCCCACAGCAGCAACAACAACCACCGCAGCAGCAACAGCCTTCGCCACAGCAGCAGCAGCCACAACAGCAGCAAAATTTTTCAATGCCAACGCAACAGAAGCCGCGCGCTGCCACAAAACGAAAAGCTAAACAACAAAATGCTCCAATCACCGCAATAAATTCACATATTCTGCCAAACGCTGCCACCACCACCACCCCAATTGCCAGTCAAATGATCAAGCAGGAGTCATTAAGTACACCAACTGCAATGCTTACTGAGAATCATCCACTTTTTTGTCCCTCAATGGATGCGAATGGTATGGCAATTAATCAATTTACTTCCATATCGCTGGGAAATACGGTAAGTTCGACTACTTTAACTAACGCATTACCGCCGGTCGTGTCGGCAATGCAACAGACAACATTTACACAACCGCAAACTTCGCCGCAACCTAGGAGCGGTAGTCAGCCTACGACTCCAACAAAAACCTTACAGCAAAAATTAGCCGAGCGTAAAAAGGCCAATCAACAAAATGAATCAATGAACTTAACAAATCCCAATTCAAACACAAATACAGAAGTTATAATATTAGACTGATAGTAGTATATTTGTTTAATACAATATATTAATTTATACAGGTTGGAATAAGGGCTAAAGTCCTCATACCTTATTAATAATTAAAAAAATACTAAATACAAGTATATGTAATTAGAAAATCTAGACTTGTTTAATATATAAAGCTGGGTTTATGAATGTAGGGTAATTAACTGTATGTTTTTATACTTGTTTAAATTCTTGATTTTCCGGTTATGGTTCTATGAATTTGTTTGTTAAAAAGAAAATTTTTAATTAATAAATAAATTCATAGAACCATTAACTGAAAATCAAGAATTTAAACAAGTTTAAAGTATCGTAAGCTGATATTTTAATTATTGATTTAGTTTTAATTTTAAGTACAAATATTTTAAAGTTTTAACATTGAAAGTTTATTTATTAATCAAAAATTTTCTTTTTAACAACAAACAAATTCATAGAACCATAAACTGAAAATCAAGAATTTAAACAAGTATAATAGCCTATAGGGTCGACTGAGAAGTTGGCTGAACCTGCGTTAAATGCGGCGTTGACTGCTGTTTTGCTTGATGTTTTTGCATCTGTATGTGGGAAGCATTGCCCTGCGCCAAATTTACCAACGAAATTGCACGACCATGCTGTTCATAAGAGTCGTTCAGTCCCGAATGCTTATTTAAAATTGAACGAGAGAAGGCATTCTTTTAAAATATTCATCATCAACGTCTTGTAGACCCGAACGTTTTTCTAATCCCTGATGCCTTAGTGATAAACGACTTAGTGCATCTAGGGTAATTAACTGTATGTTTTTATACTTGTTTAAATTCTTGATTTTCAGTTTATAGTTCTATGAATTTGTTTGTTGTTAAAAAGAAAGTTTTTAATTAATAAACTTTCAATGTTAAAACATTAAAATATTTGTACTTAAAATTAAAACTAAATCAATAATTAAAATATCAGCTTGATATAATGAATACATATACATATGTATTTGTATATATTATATACACGTATGCATGTACATATATATGTACCTATGTCTGTTATGTATGTATGTGAATAGCTTTCCGCGTTCCCCCTTACTCGTTCATTTGCAGCAAGGAATTTATTGTAGCATCTTTATTACCATGGTTCGCCTCAAAAACAGACTTGACAACTTCTTTATCAATATTGGGAAACATTTCGTGTATCTATAAAAGGAATAAAACATGTAAATATCCACTTTTCATGAACTACTACCGCTCGATAAAAACATTACTCACTTGTTTCAATTCCTCCTCGGACAATTGCCGTGGCGGTGCCGGGGTAATCACCGTATTTGCAACTGCCGGTTGCTGCGGTGTGACGAAAATTGGCATTGGTCTACCTGGCGGCACCATCAGCATTTGTGCAGTTCCTCCCATGCTTGGGTACATGTATGGCGGCATTGGTTGATTTGAGAAGCTCAAGACAATATCAATGGCACCTTCGAGGCCTTCACCTTGCTTGCCACTTAGTGGATACCATTCCTCGTGTGTTTCACCACGCATTACACTTTGTGGTATTTTAATTTCACACCAAGCAATCAATTCATCCATTTTAAAACTACATTCGTCATATATTTCAATGAAAATGGAATTAACGCCCGCCGCTAGTTGACTTTGTATAACCCGATTCCAGTGTGGATGTTTTCCGCCATTCGGATCTGTTTGTGTTTCATAGACATAATGGCCGACACGTATACGCACATATGGGTCCATGCGGGTAAGGCCATAGTTGCGTGCCAATTTCGCTTGTGCACAGGTGATACTTAAGCGGCCGACGTAATTTGGAGCCTTTGAAAAGACAGTAATATTAGAAAAAGTGTATGTATTATGATAAAACTTTACTCACAACATATTGTGGATATGCTTGTTGTTGGTAGACTGCGGTTGCTGCCTGACAGTCTGCTGCTACTTGCGGATCAACGCCGTTGTTTATCCGGAGAAAATCGTTTGGTAGTGGACCTACCATTGCCTAATAGAAGAGGGTAAATTAAAAATTATATAAGAGTTATGCTCTTTCAGTTTTTAGTATTTTGATTAAAAATCTAAAAATGCATATGAAATAAAATAACAAACATTTACTATTCATATGGATGGAATAGAATGGCACTGCTATTACACATAGCAGGTTTTTTGCATTAATTAGCACCCTTAATTGCCCAGAGTAAATTTAGTTTGCATTAATAATTATTACCCACAAAATTGTTAATAAGCGTTAGCTTACGACTAGAAGTCCTGGTAAAAGGCATACAATAAAATAAACTAATCCATAAAGCCATTTTCAAATAACTTGAAGAATAAGCCCGAGTATTCAAGAAGCCTTATATTTCGGTTAACAGAGCATTTACATAGCTATGGGATGGACAGGTTTACAATGTTTATTCGTGAGATATGCCAACAATAAGTGTCGGGAGAGCAGAAAATTTTCTGAACAAGCTACTATTCCTCATAGCTCCAAAATGTACGATTGCCTTCCGACATTTTCAGTTTAAGCCTTACTTCATTCGCCTAAGTGAACTAAGATGACTCATATTTTTACATACGTAATTTGCTACAATAAAGTCACTTATTCCCCCGAGGTAATCTATTGCACAAATGGTAGATAATAAATTCGAAAGATAAAGAGAATTTGGTAGTACTCAGTCATATCCTCTTTGGTTCGAAGATATCCACTGATGCCCTAGAATAGTTCAGATAGCTCGAATAAAAACTTTTGGTATGCTTAGATATAGGGCTGGTTATATAGTGTTGCTTTAAGTACTATATAGGTACTAAGGGAAACCATAAAAATATTTTTATTTACTAACAAGGCATAGAGCGCACTTAGCATACGAAAATATATGTATGTAGATAGGGTCGACTGATACGTTTTATTTATCGTTAAGATTAATGTAAATCTACAAGTTTCATTGGAATAATTCACCGTAAAGATAAATAAATACATGTATATATGGGTATCAAATTATTTATAGTATGTAACTATAGCAAACCCACCTTTCTCCAGCGACTTGATCGAGATTCGATATCAGCATTTGCCATACTAGTTTCAGTTATTTATTTGACTTCAGATCAATGTGATATTACTTTTTCGTTAGATACGTCGAATGCAATTTTTTTTGCCCAGTCGGCTAAGTAATCTAGTATCAAAATTATGGATTCGCAAGCTGGCACAGGGTGGAATAAACTTGAACGTCTGTTATTTCCATTTTCTATACACTCTGTTCTGCCCATCAGCTGTTGCCGGCCTTATCAACAACAGCAATAATCATTTACATATGTATGTACATACATATGTTACAAATTTGTACCTCGAGAAGCCGTGTTAGATAAGACGGGCCAATAATATGCCTTTGTCGGAAATAGTGAGTGGATTATCAACGAATCCCTATTTCGGGGCGGGCTTTGGTCTCTTTGGAATAGGCGCTGGAGCGGCAATTTTACGGAAAGGTGCCCAAGGTGCTCTGATTCTTTTTCGCCGGCACATGATGATTACATTGGAAGTGCCATCCCGTGACAAATCATATCAATGGCTTTTGCAATGGATTACCGTAAGAGGAGCAAGAGAGACACAGCACCTCAGCGTGGAGACGTCTTTCGTGCAAAAAGAAACTGGCCAAATACGTACCAAGTATGATTTCATACCTAGTATTGGAAAACATTTGATGCGTTATAAGGGCGTTTGGATACAAGTGGAGCGTACGCGGGAGCAACAAACTCTGGACTTACACTTGGGTTTGCCTTTTGAGAGCGTTACGTTAACAGCATTTGGTCGTAATAAGGAACTTTATTTCGGTATACTGGAAGAGGCGCGCTTGCTTGCGCTGGAAGCAACTGAAGGAAAAACTCTCATGTACACAGCTATGGGCTCTGAGTGGCGGCAATTCGGACACCCACGCCGAAGGCGTCCACTGTCATCGGTCGTGTTGGAGAAAGGTGTTGCGGAGCGTATTGTTACCGATTGTAAGGAATTTATAGGTAACTCCCAATGGTATATAGACCGAGGTATCCCATATCGGCGCGGATATTTATTATATGGACCACCAGGTTGTGGAAAGTCCAGTTTTATCACTGCATTAGCTGGCGAACTCGAATACGGTATTTGTCTGCTTAATTTATCAGAACGCGGCCTCACTGATGACAGATTAAACCATCTTTTAAATGTTGCGCCAGAACAATCTATAATATTGCTAGAGGACGTAGATGCCGCTTTTGCCTCTCGTGAAGATGTTAAACAACAGGCGGCAGCCTATGAGGGACTCAATCGTATTACTTTTAGTGGGTTGCTTAACTGTCTGGACGGTGTTGCCTCAACAGAGGCACGAATTGTATTTATGACCACAAATTACTTAGATCGTTTGGATCCGGCGCTTATACGACCAGGTCGTGTTGATGTTAAGGAATACGTTGGCTACTGTGATGCACATCAGCTGGAGGAAATGTTTCTGCGTTTCTATGGCAAACAAGAAAAATTCCCAGAAAAGGCTGCGAAGGAATTTGCAAAATCCGTGTTGGCTGATGGTCGAAATGTAAGTCCTGCCCAGGTGCAAGGCTATTTCATGCGTCACAAAACTGCCACTTCGACGGAGGTGCTGGCACATACCGCTCAAATATGGGAAGGAAGCTTATCTACAGCACTGTCAAAGGAACCACTTACAGTAAAGGCAAGCGCTGCGTAGATAAATATTACTCGCTCACTGCAATTGATGTGTCATGCCTAGTTGGTAAATAAGCATTACAAATAGCGCTGCAGAATTGCATATTTCCTTTGTCATAAATAAAAAAATATATATATTGCGACTACATCTATTTTACGCTTAAAACGTAAGAGACTAAATATTTTATTATCTTAGCGATAAAATTCGATTACTTAAAACTTATTTTAAAAAAAGTCTGACGAGTAATAGGCATTATGTATAAAGATCTACAAGTACGTTTTCTTTTACATCACTATGATTTGAGATTAAATATCTGTCATGTTGGTGACTGGGTGCCTACCACATCAGTGACTTCAACATTAACAGGGCTATCAGCGCATTCTTGTACTTTTGTACGAATATCGGAGCGACACATTGGACAAAATTGTAGTTGTTCAGCGCAAGTAATGCAAAATCCCCTGCGGATTCAATATTAATTTTAGTAAATTAGTGAAGATAATCATATGGCTAGATATTTACCTATGCGCACATGGCTCTAATCTCATCGTAGCCTTTTTATCGAAACAAAGTGTACAGGAGTCATCACGCACGCTAACTTTTCGTAGCATATCCAGATAAATATGGCGCGGCAAAATAGTCTGTAATGTATTGAATAGATTACTTGTTAAGAAAATGTGTTTAATATAAAATTGTATGGCACGTAAATACTTCAAAAATAGTCCCATTTACTAGTAAGGCTTTTTACCTTGTCACTTGAACTAAGTATTCCACTTTCATTAAAATTGTGAAATGCTCTTTGTGGTGGATAACAAAATCGTTCCAATCCAAAATTAAATCTACATTGCTGAAACGACATAAAACTGGCCGCAGCGAAAAATCCTTCCCTAGTATACAATAAAATTTGTAACTTCTGAGTCGAAAACGTTTTTCAAATAACATACTTAACACTATTGAATATATGTCTATAGGGATCAGTCGATTCTCCATCTAGAGAAAAAATCACTTCCTGTTTTTCTAAATCCAATAGACAACCAAGAACAGAGCCACTCTTCCATGTTGGCAAGCTGTGCGGTATAGACTTGGCATTGTGCCATATTAAACGCCGACAACCGTCGAATCCAATAGAGTATTTATCATCACCTATTCCGTACCCATCGTCGCTCAGAAAACTGGACTCTTTAGTAGCCCAACCAATTTGCATTACACCAGGTGTAATCAGTAGGACTTCATAGTACCAACAGTTATTAGTTACCTGAAAATATATGTATTTCAAATGTAATGGGCCTATACAAATGTATTAATGTGCTTAGTATTTTACCTGGAATGTGCAACGTACACTTTCAAATGTGTAGGCGTCACATCGCGCTTCTAATCCATCTGGTGATATTTTTAAATACTCGCTAACATCTTTTGTATTAAGCATAGCGTTAACTTTCGAGACGTCAGTAGTCTCATATGAATACTTTCGCCCACTTACTGGAACTAAAATATAAATTTGCTTATTGTCTTATCTATTAAAATAGGGTTTGTATATATATGTAGTTAATAAATAAATATGCTTACAATAGTTGTCTAAACACCAACAGGCGCAAAATCCTATTTGGCGTAATAGGAAATTTGTAGATAGTACATGTTCTTCCAACGACAAAAGTGGATTTTGTTCAATTTCGTGCAACGATTTCTTTAATAAAACAAATCATTACTAAAACACTCTCTACTCAAACGTATTAAAAACTTACCTGGATTGTCACTTTATTTTCACTAGTCTGTGCAAACTTCTCAAGTGCAATCAATGAAAGAAGTTTTATGTTAGGTTCGATGTCTTCATTTAAATTACTAATCAGGTACTTTAACATGGAATTGTTAAGTAATGCAATACTGCTGGGCCCGGCTAATTTTTCTGCTAAGCAGCCAAGTATGACACATAAATTACGTTCCTTGCGTAAGTTATTCTTTAGGCCATATTTTGGAGCAACCATTTCACCGACTTTTAATACAGACTCTTTCGTGGGCAGTGGACTATCATCGAGTAGTAGAGCTATAACGCTCGGACCCATAGGATGTTCAACGGGCACTACACGCATCAATGATCGTACAAGTTCGATCCAACCGGCTGGTTTCTCTGTTATCATGTGAAGCATTAATATCGAGCTGGGCGGTTCCGGCTCACTACAAACAAAAAGCATTAATAAAATTATATCCACTAGTTACGCTTCCTGCATACTTATCAATTATTGTACTAATCACATCCAAAGTTTCGCGAACTAATTTGTCAACTGTATCAGAAAGTGTTTTCAATGTGGCATTTGTTTGCAGCACTTCCGGGCTGCGGTGCGAGTTTCTGAGAGATCCTCTTGCGTGCCGATGTGAGGGTTCAACACCGACGTCGTTTTCCTCTTCACTTTCATTGTTATCTTTACACAGACAAGAGCCCATTATTTACAGCACAGACTTTTAGAAATGCATCCATCGAAACATTGATATAAAAACTGTATAAAAACGCGTTGGCGAGCTTATTTTTCAATTGGTTAAAAAACAAAATGCTACGAATCTACAGCTGCGGGAAAAACAAATTCTTTCGATTATGACTTTAATCGATTGTAAAAAATCGTTAACGATGCCTCCAATAATATTGGAAAGTAAGATGGTGTAATAACGCCACTATTCCACCATGGGAAACTAATAAATTTTTATACCAAAGCGCACTTGAGAGCAAGCATGAACCAACTAAAGCTGAAGCTCCATCAGCCTCGAAGCGCCTCAAGCCGCAACGCCTGAAAGATGATTTAGTGCAATTGTATAGAAGCTGCTCCATCTAGGTTCAGACGGAGAAACTTTTGGCTGGGCAACTCGTTACTTATGCGATAGGGAGTGACGAGGAAGGAGGAAGGGCACCGAGTTGCTCGTACTCAGGCAACACGCTTTGTGCTCTCGTTCGTCTGAGTAATTCTAGTGGCCGTTCACTGACAACAACAATTGTGTACAAAGGAATTGCACTGTGTGAACACGAAGGGCAACACCAAATGAGAAATTGCTGAAAATGGGCAATAAAAGTTTCTCTGTGTGAACCTGTACTAACCAAAGTCTGAAAAGCCCGAAAAGCCTGAAAGATGCCAGTTTAGAACTTTTTTCAGGCTTTTCAGGCGTCGTCTGACAGTGAAGGCTGATTCACATACAACTTTCTTCGCTTTGCTTGATAGTTCTTTGTTTTGACATATGAGATCGATGTAGGCATATGCATGAGTATGTTCACATAAAAAACGTTTGAAGCAAAGCAAAGCAAAACGAAGCAAAATCTTAGGCAACTCTCAACTTTTGCCGAGGTTTGAGACAAGGTGACTCCCTTTCGTGTGATTTTTTTAATCTAATATTGGAGAAGATAATAAGAGCCGTAGAACTGAATCGCTCTGGCACAATACTTTACAAGAGCGTACAATTGCTGGCGTAAACCGACGGCATCGACATTATCGGTAAAAGAAAAAGCTACGTCTGTTCTGCCTTCACGGGATTAGATAGAGAAACAAAGCGAATGGGTCTGGTGGTGAACGAGGACGAAACGAAGTATCTCCTGTCATCACACAAACAGTCGGAGCGCACCCACGTCGCTGTTGACAGTTACAAGTTTGAAAAAGTAGACGACTTCGTTTATTTGGAAATCGATTTTTATAACTACTGAATCTTATTCACTCAAAATTGATATTTACAATGATTTTTAAACGGAAAATAAGAATGTTATAAATTTTTGAAAATGGGCGTACCCACGCCCACTTATGATTAGATGTGTATACCTTGGTAACCGCTTCACCAATTTCTCCCAAACTTGGCACGGTTGTTGGCCTTGTTACAGCATACCAAATGGCCGAATATTCTCTTATTGTCTACATCACTGTCTTTGACTTTTCGAAGATAGTTTATTGTCTGGACGCCTAATTTACTCAAATAATGTAACAACTAATACATATTCTCAATTGTATTGCCTTGTGTAAATGCAATATTGGCAATCCGACGTTCTCTATACAGACGCACACAGTCTACTCAACTGCCAGTACCCTGCAAAAATCGCGACTACTCCATGCATGCATGTAAAGAGTACTCCCGAAGGTCCAAGGAGTACTCTAAAATTAACCACAATTCATATAAAAAATATGGTCCAATTAACATTGCGATGTCCTAGGGCAGGACCATGTACTCCATCTCTGCAATACATCAGAGTAGCACAAAACTACTCCCAACATACTCCAATGACATAATCGTTATATTTTTTCGTTTGTACACGCTTTTGTTCTTCACTTCGCAGATGCTTTTTTTGAAATTAATAAAAACCAGAAACAAAAATGAAAAATTACATGTTGCCTCTGACGACATTCGAACCCGAACATGCTGGGAGCTAAGAACTAACAGCTAGCATCTCTACACGTTCAGCTACAGCCAGACATGCAAATGTACTTTCAAATGCATAACTTCAATCACATGTCGTTAAAACACGAGCAGTGATCGGGTAACAATAAGCTGGTGCAGAGACACGAGTTGGTCCGCTACAGCATGACAGAGGAGCACTTTTGTAAGTACTCCAATATACCACAAATAGACTACATGGTCCAACGATTTTTGCAGGGTAGCATACTTAAGCGGAACGTACGCAAAGTACCCATTCTGACGGGGTCATAAGTTACATGCCCAAAATTGACGGAGACGGCGACGCACAAATTAGCCAAACTTTCAACTTTGCGTTTGCGTCAAGCGACAATTATTCTGTATTTTCGTTTACATGTTTGAACCTAAATTAGTTTAGTTTGTGAAATTTTTAGATTCTGCCGTATCCTGAGTTTCGGCCAAAGAAAATTTCACCCGAAAATTTGTATTCCGCCCATAGTAGGGGTGTTCCCTTAAACTCGTAAAAGCCTCGTAAACCTCGTAAAGCTCGTAAATTTACGAACCTCGTAAAAGAAATCAAAATTTGTTTGGAGATCTATCTATAAGCCCCTCGTAAATTTACCGAGGCAAATTTGTTGCGCAAACGACCTCGTAAACTTCAGTGTTGTAAAGGGGCCGAAATTTTCATACTAAAATGTATGATAAAATAATGAAAAACAGTCACTTTACGCACCTATTTGTATCTTTTCGCAAAGGGGGCGTTCGCATAAAAGCCTCGTTAACTTTCGAGTTGTACACGGTTTAAGACTTTACGAGTTTAAGGGAATCCCCTAAGTAAATACATGGAAACCATAACACCCGATTTACATGATTCAAGTACTTGAAGCAATTCTTGCTCATTCTCTTTTGTGTTTTCTATTTGCTTTTACACGTTTCAATTCTGTTGAATTCAAGTTTTTGGTTCTTTACATGGGAAGCAACGAAAATGCCAAAAGCAAAGCAAGAAAGTTGAAACGACTTGACGGTACAGACGCATGTGTACTCGTCACTTTTCTTCTCACCCCCTCTCTTCCACATGCGAGCAGAATTGAATTCAATACTTGAACTGTGTAAAAGCAGTCTAAGCGAAAAGCGAACCGGCAATTAGAAAATTAAACTCATGTTTAGATTCTGCCCTATCCTGAGTTTCAATTGAAAATTTTTATTCCGCCCATAGTAATTACATGGAAACTAAAGTGAAAAGTGAACCGGTTCGGGGAAAATTAAACTCATGAGATGGCTGGGAAACCAAAAGTGAAAAGTTAACCGCTTCGAAGGAAATTAAACTCATGATAATGATGATTAAAAAATCTGACTTATCCTGAGTTTTGCCCGAAAAAACACCCGAAAATTTTACTTCCGTCCATTAATTTGCTTCGGTGGGGGTTAATTTATTTGCTCGAATGAGATAAGTGCGCTATATTAATTGCAACAAATGGCATCACCATTTACGCACTTTCCATACATGAATTTTTGATATCACATATGTATTCCAATATTCATTTTTGGAATACAAATAAATTATTGGGTGCTCATTTTACATTGAAAAGCACTGTAAAAAGGCTGTCGAATTTGTAATTTATAGTTATAAAATAATGTACTGGTGAAAAAATACAGAAAATAAGCCCCACGAGAGCTTAAAATAATATAAGTGCAAAAGTTTACGGAACGCCTAGAAAATATCGCCAATCGCAAACACTTTCCCCAGCGATAGGAACAGTATAAAGCAATTGGGAATAGTTTGCATTTTGTTGCGGCCATATTTGTGAGGCCCGAATTTAACTTGATAATTCGCCAGCAGGGGAGTGGATCTAAAAGAATCCTTCATCGCACAAACTGCGCATGCCAAGCGGGCTCGATTTTTTCTATAAAGGGCAAAAAACCGACTACCTTAATTATCGCAAAATCAGAAAGGTGGATATAGCGCCCCTTATAATAAGACTGTTGGAAGCTCATAAGCGTTTATAATTTATTGGAAATATCAAAAATCCTGTAAGTTGAGAATCAAAAAATTTAGCAGAGAAATATGGAAAACAAAAGAAAAGCGGGAAATTTTAAGAATAAAGCAATACGACTTTAGCTATATATACTACGTATGTACTATATATGTACTTAATTTATGTACATATGCACATACATTTGTATCTACATTGTATGTATGTATGTATATAAATATAATATTCTCGTTTAATTAATAGATTTTAAGAATGGATTTATTTCTTGCCCTAGTAGAAATTTCGGAACAAAAGCAGAATAGCTCCGATTCTCAAATTAAAAAAATATATATATTGGGATCGATAGATACATACGCTTGATCTGAAAATAACGGTATATTATTCTTTTTGCGGAAACAACTACAAAAGTTATTAAGGGTCAAAGTTCATATGAAACATCTTTTTAAGTCAAAATTTCTTAAAAACAAAGGCATGGATTTTAAAAATTGTAATCTGATTTGATAGGAAATTTAATTCCCTTTAATTTGATATACACACATATGCATATGTATGTTATGTATAGTTTTTATAAAAATTGTATTAATGTAAAAAAAATATTGAACAAATCTTTGCAAACCTATTTTTTTAAGCCGCCTTATTTGTTATATGGAAAAGTTGTAGAGTTGAATTGAAAATTAACCAAGCTTTCATTTGACATAGAATATGCTAATATTCCTCGCTCTACAAAGTATTTGCATAAAACAACCCTAGTCCGTCCAACACCGGCTACTCTATCCACAGTATTTTTTTCGCAGAATTCTTTCTGCGTAGGCGGCCTTCGGACGCGCTTAAATACGGATGCCAGACGTACTGATTTTATCAGTACATTACTGATTTTTCAACTCTTGTACTGATTCATTTCTTCAATCAGTACGCTAATGTCCTGATTTTTCCAAATTTACACTGATTTGTACTGAATTTTCAATTCAAACAAAATACTTTAGTAATTTCTTAAGGTTTTTACATAACGTTGGATTTTCCGTAAACTGTACTGTAAATAAATAAAATAAAATAAAAACTTTTTAATATACAACGCTTTTATAAATGGACTAAAAAGTATAAAATAATATTTCTCAGTCCCACAGAATTTGTTTTGATAACTTTTGATTTTGAAATTTTAGCAAAAGTCATTAGCATGAAATAAAAGTTTCCATAGACAAAAATTACAACTTCTATTGA